CCGATGTACTAAGTGAGCAAGAGGTTGCTCGATGTAGAGACAAGATACCTAGAGATGGAGAAACTCGCCTATGCACTTGTCATCGCCACTTAGAAGTTGTGGCCCTATTTTCAAGCGCACTCCATACATGTGCTGACGAACTTTCCCTTGAGGAAAATAATGCAGAAGCCCGAGGCATCGAGTGAATTGATTTAGTGGACGATGGAGATGAGTCAACATGACATCAAGTACATCCCCATAATAGCAATAAAAGGTCAAGCTTTGGTAGATTTTATTTTAGAATATTCTTATCAGCCCGAGGGAGAAATAAGCTCGCCAAAGGTCAGTACCTCAGAGATAAGCGAACCATAGAAACCAAAGCTTTATGGCCTATGATAATGGACTATGTATGTAGATGGGTCCTCGAACAGGGCTCTTGCTCGAAAGTCCTTAAGGGAACCAATCAAAACTATAGTCAGATTCAGGTTTACTGCCTCCAACAACAAGGCAGAGTATGAAGCAATGCTAGCAGGGATCCACCTCACTAGGGAAATGGGGGCAAAGTCCATTAAGATCTACAGCGAATCTTAGCTCGTAATCCATCAGATTTTCAAGGAATATCAAGCAAAGGAGGATATGATGGCATCCTATCTCTGGCAAGTGAAATATGAGATCGTGCAGTTCAAGTCTTTCATTATTCTTCAAATCCCAAGATAGAAGAATTCAGTGACCGACGCCCTATCTCGCCTAGCTTCGACAACGAGTCAAGAAAAGACTGATTCGATACCTGTTAAATTCCTCCCAAATCCAAGCATCCTCTCTCCACAAGAATCAATCTTAGTAATAGAGCAGAGATATAGCTGGATGGATGTAATAATTGCTTACCTAAGAGATAGAACAACGCCTGAAGGAAGAAGTAAAGCCAAGACACTTCTAACAAAGTCAACTCAATAAACGCTTATCAATGACCAACTATATAAGCGTGGGTTCAATACACCGTTCTTGCCATGTGTTGATCATGAAGATGCAGACTATATTTTGAGAGAAATCCATGAAGGCATCTATGGGAATCATGTAGGGGGCAAATCTCTAGCATACAAGGTGCTTCGTCAGGGCTACTACTGGCCAACAGTTTTTGACGATGCAGCAGATTATGTGCGTAGGTGTGACAAATGCTAGAGATTTGTAGATGTTCCGCTAGCTCCACCTCAAGAGTTAATTACCTTGACAAGTCCTTGGTCGTTTGCAATCTGGAGGATTGATCTGATTGGCCCTTTCCCTCAAGGAAAGAGAGGTGTTAAGTTCGCAGTAATTGTAGTCGACTACTTTTCTAAGTGGGCAGAAGCCGAGCCTTTAGCTGCCATTACATCGAACAAGCTGAAGGATTTGATCTACAAAAAAATCATTTATAGATTCAAAATATCCCATACAATAATAACTGACAATGGGAGACAATTTGATTGTGAGGATTTCAGATTTTTCTACGAAAGACTCGATATCAAGAAGAGCTTCGATGTTATTTATTGGCCTTAAGCTAACAACCAAGTGGAGGTTGTGAACAAAGTAATTAAGCACCATTAAGAAGAAGCTCGATGCCTTGAAGGGAAGATGGGTTGAGGAATTGCCCAAGGCCTTATGGTCTTATAGAATGACAGCCAGAAGCTCGATAGGAGAAACCCTGTTTTCTCTATCATACAAGTGTGAAGCAATGGCCCCGGTAGAAGTGGGGATTAGTTCATTCCGGAAGGAAGTCTTCAATGAAGAAACAAACGTAGATCTTCTCTGCTTGAGGCTAGACCTAATAAAACAACATCGAGTCAAGTCTCAGCTAAGGTTCGCCTTATATTAACAGCGAGACAAATGATACTTCAACTCCAAAGTCAAGAATAGGGACTTTGAAGTGGGCAACCTAGTTCTCAGAAATGTTGTCTAGGTACACAAAACCCAAATTTGGGGGCATTTGGGCCCAAATGGGAAGGTCCATTCAGGATCTTCGAAAAGCTTGCACCAAGAACTTTTCATCTAGAATACCTCAATGGTGAAGCCGTACTGTGAGCATGGAACGTTGAGCATTTACGAAGGTATTACCAATAAGCAGCTCGGGTTCCAATCATGTTTTGTTTTTTCTCCTGTATTCATTGTAAGGTTGTTTATGGCCAAAATTCTATCAATAAAAAGAGGTATTATTCATGAACTTTACTTTGTTCATCACTTTTTGTTTATTAGTATTTTGTTCATCATTTATCATCTATGGTTTCAAAATCACGACCTACGCGATCACATCTGAAACTCACAGTCAAGAGTTTGGAAGAAGATATCTTAGCTCAATAAGCCAAGCCAGAATTCAACTCATTAAGAGAGAAATATTTCAAATCGACGAAGTTAAACTTGGAAAAATTCAAGTAAAACACGTCAAAAGAAAATCGGTCACAAGCCGGTAACCAAAACTCGAGACAAACAAATAGTCCAAACTCAAAGTTGTCGCAAAAGATTTTTTTTACATGTATTTGAAAAGTTCTTCAAGAAACGAGCTACACGTAACTTGGAGCAAATTCAAATTTTTTATGATAAGTCCGATTATGATGATATAAACGACTTTGCAGAAATAAAAAATTACTTGATAGAAATGTGCAAAACGAATTTTTCATTGATTATGAAGTTTAGTTACAAACTAAACTAAAAAAAAAAAAAAAAAAAAAAAAAAAATCTCTCTAAGTAGTTGGAGGAGCGAGGGCATCGTCACCAGCAGGACCAGGGAATTCGTCACCAATCAGGACAGAAAGATCGTCGACAACAGGAATCTCGGTAGCCTTTTCAGGGTAAGAGTTGGGACATTGCTCAGAGCCTCAACAGGAGGAAGGTCGGCAGCGATAGGCAGAAGTGTGGCTAGAGGAGTCGAATCCTCAATTTCTTGCTTAATGCCGACATCCTCCTCCCATTCCTTGACTTCCTCCTCGCCTTCACTGTCGGGCTTAGAGTCATCCGAATAAACGTAGGCCATGCCTTAAGCCTCGGTCCTTATCTTGTCAACCTCCTTTTGGTAATCTCTCGAAAGGAAGGAAAAATTGATTGAAGGATGAGCTTCCCACAGTTATTGCACTAGGAAGACCGACGTTTCCCAAGCTCAGTTCATGATGGTCGAGTTCAACTCCTCGACTTCGAGCTTAAGTTGTTCAGTCTCAGCCTCGACCCTATGGTGACCTTCCACGTCTTTGGTGAGATCGAGTGAAACCTTTTGAAACTTAGCCTCCCAATATGAGGCAACTTTCTAAGCTGAGGTGAGTTCAGAGTTCAGCTTATTGTTGGCACCCCACTGTTGTGCCAAACTCTTCTCAACCTTGACCGCTATTGTTTCAGCCTTTGCCCGAGCGGCCTCACTCACCTTAATCTTATAAAGGAACTCCTTTTCCTTGACTCCAAAGGCCTCCATCTCCTCCTTAAGCCGTTCAAGCTCGGCCAGCTTCGGGTCTTTCTCTTTCTCAGCCACCTTGGCCCTAGCCAAGGCATCTTCCTTGAGCGCCTCCGCTTCCTGCCACCCTTGATGAGTGCCCATTAATGTGGGGTAACTTTCATCATAGAGAAGCTTGGTTGCCACGCAAGCCTAAAACAATGAAAGTCAGCAAGTAATAAAGAGAAACGTATATAAAAAAGGGAACGAGGGGTGAACTACTGATACCTTGGTCATGTAGCTGCATACCCAAGACAATAGCTATAGAGGAGACAAATCTCTAATGCCCGTGTAGGTTCGCAGGGTGACGGCATCCTTGACTGCCAAGGCCCCAATACTGATATGCTCAGGGAGCTTGTCGATTATTGCGTCGAGCGTAGCCTGAGCTGCCTTATCCGTCATTTTACTTCTCTGTTGAGGCGGGCTTCATTTACTTCCCATAGAAATGACAGTTTCGCCTGTGAAAACAGACTTCTTCTTGACCAAGTCCTTGGCCACAAAATTCTTAATACTGCTTATGGTACTTATGCTAAACCTTAAGGGTGTTAATTTTTTTTTTTTTTTTTTTTCTAAGAGGAGAAATTTTGTTAAATAATAAAAAAGGTAAATGACATCTAGACAGGAGATGTAAAGAGTTTTACCCCTCACAAATCTAAATATAATAGATAAAATAAAATACAAATCCGCAAGTTACAATAAAAAATAAAAATTCAACTAAATATGTAACTTAAGGGTGTTAATTAATATGTGGGTGACTGGGCTGACAACACACGTTAAGAATACTATCAAATAAATTTGCAATAAACACAGAAAACAGTGTAGCAGCGGTCTTAATCCTACTTTTTATTCCTTAATTTACCATTTATTGGGTTTATAACAATTTCCTCCACATCAAAGGGTTTCAAATAGTAACTAATACACCTAAAAACTCGATTATTTTACCAATAAAGATGATAATATCTTTTATCTAATTATATATTTTTTTTCAATTTTTATTTTAAAGTAATTATATAAAAATTGAAGAAATAAAAACTATTATACTTTCCTCTCCCATTTAAATTTTTATTTTTTAAAGTATGTAATTTCCTTAAATTTAGGTTTTTTTTTTTAATTTTTATTGTATAAAATAAAAAAATATTTTAACTATTTACATATTTATTTTAATTATGATTTTTATATAAAATTGTTTAATAAATATTACTATTCATATAGTATAAAAAATTAAGAAATAAAAATATAAAGAGACAGGATATTATGATAAAACATTTGTTATTAACCAAAACCTTGAGGAGGCCCTTCATCGAATGTATCAATCCGAACACCGTCTGATTAAATAAATGTTTTTCGCAAGATTAAATAGTCAATGGCGGCGTGAGACACCCCGTGTCTGTACAGTCAGTCGCTCCTAATTCAAAACTCGCCAGTGAAAAGCGCGTGGCATTGAACAGCGTATTGTTACATAACGCGAAGGTAACTAGAAAGAGAAGGCAAAGAAAGACTCAACCAGGGGAGAGCCTTAACAGCTCTTTAAACACACACGCAACCATATTTGATATTGACAGTAGACAACTCCACCACATTGCCTGACTCTTTCAGCCACCTTCCTCATTTTCCTTTTTATTTCTTTCTTCTTCTTTCATTTCAAGTTATACCACAAATACATTTACATACTCTTCTTCATTTGCCAACCCACATGCTCTCTTTTCCTCGATAACTTAGCCGAACCGTCTTCTTTATTTCAAAGCTATCACCAACAAAAGCCGCTCTTTTTTCTTTTTCTTTGCTTGAAAAGCTCAGAAAGATTGGATTTTTATTTTTGTTTATAGAAAAAAATATTATGGGGAGGTACCAGCGTTATCATCAGTTGAAGAAAGGTGAACATGTACAAGTAGTAAAACATTATATGCCTCTTGAAGATGATGACGATGAAGAGTCTCGTGACTTCGTTTTCGTTTGTGCACCGAGCTATGGTTTCTTCAACAAGAGAGCTAGGCCTAAGCTTTTCTCTCTTCTCTTTATTTCCCTTCTTTCGTGCTGCTTTATTTTGGCTCCTCATCTCTTTAGCTCTTCCTCTCTCCTCTGTAAGTCCCCTTTCACCTACTCGAGTTTTCTTTTCTTTTGCTCTGTTTTTGTTGTTGATTTTTTTTTTTTTTTAATAAAATTATTTATTTTTATAAAAACTTGTTTCTGTAGATTCATTTGTTGGGGATAACGAAAGCCTTCTTCCCAATGTAAATGCTCCTTTGTGTGCTTCTGCCTCTGACGGTTAGTACTTTATTCTCTTGCTATCTTGTTTCTTCATCTCTGTTTTTTTACCTTTTGTAAACTTTTAGAAGTTTAAGTTTAATGGACTAGTTATTTATGGGGGAAAAAGGATTTCTTTTATGGCTATTGAAAGTTCTCATGTTCCATCTGGCTTCTGAGAACGAAGTTCTAAAAGAGAAGATGTGGAAAACGTTGGATTTTTCATTTGATTATGTTCTTAGAAGCCCAAGTAAAATAACATCTTAAACTGAAAACTGAAAAGTCCTTTCTGGTTTTTTTTTTTTTAATCCCACAGTCAAACTATATGGTAGAGGCCTTAACTTTTTATTGTAGATACTCTTTGCAGTATCCGTTTTGTGATTGTTAGTTTTGGGATTAATTTCAGGAACTATATGTTGTGACAGAAGCGGTTTGCGTTCTGATGTATGTATCATGAAAGGGGATGTGCGAACAAGCTCTGCTTCCTCTTCCGTCTTTGTATACAACTCAGGAAACTCGAATGGCTTAATCAACTATGTTTCGAGCATGGTTGAAGAAGATGCTGAAGAGGAACTCCAACACGAAAAGATTAAACCGTATACCCGAAAATGGGAAGCAAGTGTAATGGACACCATTGATGAATTAGACCTTATCTCCAAGAGGGGAAGTGCTGCAATTAACCATCACTGTGATGTTCAACATGACGTTCCTGCTGTGTTTTTCTCGACTGGAGGATATACCGGGAACGTGTATCATGAATTCAATGATGGACTTTTGCCATTGTATATCACTTCTCATCATTTGAAGAAGAAGGTTGTATTTGTCATTCTTGAATATCATAATTGGTGGATTATGAAGTATGGTGATATTCTTTCACATCTTTCGGATTATCCAGCAATAGATTTTACTGGAGACAAGAGGACTCATTGCTTCCCCGAAGCGATTGTTGGTCTCAGAATCCATGATGAGCTTAAAGTGGATCCTTCATTGATGCAAGGAAACAAGACCATAGTTGATTTTAGAAATATTTTAGATCAAGCTTACTGGCCAAGAATTCATGGATTAATTCAGGATGAGGAACGAGAAGCTCAAGAAAAACTAAGGGAGAAGCTTTCTTTGTCTCCATCATCAAAAACCTCATCAGAGATTATAAGAAATATGGAAGAAAATCTATTGAAGAAACCAAAATTGGTTGTTTTATCTAGAAATGGGTCTCGAGCGATAACTAATGAGAAATTGTTGGTCAAAATGGCTGAGGAAATTGGCTTTCGAGTTGAAGTTGTGAGGCCTGATCGGACTACAGAATTGGCAAAGATTTATCGGGTGCTTAACTCAAGTGATGTGATGGTTGGAGTCCATGGTGCAGCCATGACACATTTTCTCTTCATGAAGCCTGGCTCTGTGTTTATTCAGGTCATTCCCCTTGGAACTGATTGGGCAGCCGAGACATATTATGGTGAACCAGCAAGGGAACTTGGTTTGAACTATATCAGCTACCCCGTTCTTCCCAGAGAAAGCTCTTTGTATGACAAATATGATAAAGACGATCCTGTTCTTCGAGATCCAACAAGTGTAAACAATAAGGGCTGGCAATACACCAAGGCAATCTATCTCGACGGCCAAAACGTGAGATTAAACCTCGAAAGATTTCGTAAGCGGTTGATTCGTGCTTATGGTTATTCCATCAACCGGAGTGCTCATCATCAGTCACAGTAATTCCGAATGTCCTTACTAGCTTTTCTTGTTCTGGATCGTTAATTAATTTAATTGAAAACTGTAATTTTTTGTGAAAAATTAGTGAATTCATTCCTTGTTTTGTACATTGAGCAGGAAATATAAAAAAAAAAAAAAGGTCTTCATTTTGGTAAATAGTTGGAATGTTTGTTTGAAGCAGCCACACTCCGTAACTTGTAAGACTTTACATGTAATGAATAATGAAATATTTTACAAAGTGCCCATGATTTTTGCTTCATGCAATTTTGTGTGTCTGTTAATGAGTTATCATTGATGAAGTACGTTATGAAAATTCAGAAATGGGTTCCCATTTCTCATTGTTTTTTGTTTGTGTTTTCTCATTTAAAATTATTTTGTAGCTGATGTTCCTTGTTTCCAATGTTAGCATTTTATGCAAGTAAATCTCCTCAATTCTCTGTTATTTCGTGCTTGTGAATTGTGGTTTAATGAGTTACTGAAGAACAATTATTTATATGTTAAATTCATTGTTTGTATTGTTATTGTATTGGTTTTTACTTTTTATAGGTAAATCCTTATTCCACACTCTGGATAAGATATTAAAATATAATGAGTGGCACTTTTTAAACTCATTCTCTGATCTCTGCTGGTTTTATTAGCCATAACGAATAAATCCCAGTGGTCCTACAATCGTTATTATTGGATGCAAGAGATTGACATTTTCCATGTGAAGATGTTCAGTTACAAGAATTATTATACTACACTCCAGTATGGGAAGGATGAAGGATCTTCCACCTTTTGGTGGGCCTTCAAAACAAAATAAGCTTACAGTTTACTACTTATTCTATATCCATCAGACATTGGGAATCTCCCTGGTTGTAATATGCCATAGAAGAATACTATCATCACACTTATTGATGTAAAAGAAAAAAAAAAAAAAAAATGAAAAGAGCATATGGGAAGTGGGAAACCATATGATGGAAATTTTGTTTTTGTTTTTGTTTTGGACAAATTTTATTAGACTGAAAGATGTTACATAGTGGTGGGTAGTGGTTCATGACATGAGTAGAGAAATTTGCAGGGAGAATTTGAAACGTTGGCGCCAGAAAGCATTCTTAAGTAAATGAAATAGGAATCCATTTTCAAGCTACTTGTTATGTTAATATCCATGGAGCATGGCATTTTACAAGTTTTTGTTTGTAAGTTTTATATTGATCTATTACTACTATCAGAAATTGAGCCAAGGGTACGAATTGATTTTTCGATCTAAGGTACTATCTGAAATCTTCAATTTTTTCTTCTTTCTCTGTCCCATAGGTACACCATTTGAATAAATAGAGATCTCTTTCTTCTTCTGTATCTATCTTATAAATAGCTATTATTACATTCCAATTTATTTTAAACAACATATTTTATATAAATAAACACTATTTTTATTAAATTCTAAATATAAAAATCAAAATTTATATTCAAATCCAATTAACTTTTTAAATTAGACTTAATAAATAGGAGAGTGGCTTAATAGGAAAGAAAATTAATAATAAAATGCATAAAAACTTATAATTTATTAAATAAAATTAAGATAAATAGTTAAAGAGTCAAACTTATTCTTTAATTTATATTCAAAGAATAAAAGTCTATTGAACTCTTATTTTTATGAACAAACTCTCTAGTACATCGACTTTTTATATGACCTAAACTCTTTATTATAAAAAGTTTATCTATGAAAACAAGAGTGCAACAGATTCTTTATTCTTTAAATGTAAATTAAAGAGTGAATTTGACTCTCCACAGTCAAATTTCACTCTTTATCTTAATTTTAAATAATAAATTACAAGTTTTTATGTATTTTATTTATAATTTATCTCTCCTATTAAGTTTCTTTTTTGTAAAAACATATTCTCACTCTTAAAATTTAGAGAGTCTAAGAGCATCTCCAATGATGCTCTTTATTTTAAAGAGTATATTTTATATAAATAAATAGTATCTTTATTGATTTTTAAATATAAAGAATACAATTTTTATTCAAATCTAATAGACTCTTTAAATTTAATGAAGATGCTCTTTATTTAAAAAAAAAAAAAAAGACTTAATAGGATAGAGAATTCATAAATAAAATGCATAGAAACTTGTAGTTTATTAAATAAAATTAAGATAGAGAGTGAAATTTGACTCTCTAAATGTAAAGAGTTAAACTCACTCTCTAATTTATATTTTAAAGATAAAGAGTATGTTGGACTCTTATTTTTAGGAATAAACTTTTTATAATAAAGAGTTTAGGTCATATAAAGATTCATTTGAAGATGCTCTAATAGATTTGAATAAAAAATTTATTTTTTATATTTAAAAATCAATAAACATACTCACAATTTATATAAAAGATGCTCGAACACCATAGGATGCTCGATCACCAATTCAAGCCCTATAAAGAGTCCTTCAGATGCTCTTACATTCCAATTCTTTCTCGATGCTTTCTAAAGAAAATCCCGAATTGGATCCCAAATTAGAGTAATGCTACACTTACATTACTCTTTTACACAATTTTCATTATATCATGATATGACATATGTCACAATCACACAAATTTTTAATATTATAATAGAATTTGTATGATTGTAACATATGTTATATCATGATGTTTACAAAATGGTGTAAGTGTAGCATTACTCCCCTAATTAATGGGATAGTGTCAGCTTCCCTGTGCGGTTATACACTCTTCAATGGGTAATCATTTTAATGTGAGGTTAGTAATTCTTACCGTACAATTTCTTCAATTAAGAGTTCATGACAATATAGTTTTTACCAAAAAGTTCTTGATTGTTAAGAAAAAAAAAAAATAAAACTATTCAATCACGCATTAACTCTTTTGGATTGCAAGTCCAGAGCTCAAGGTTTAATGTTTAGAGTTTTTGATATTAAGTGTCTTTTTGGTGAAGAGAGAAATGGTGCTAAATGAAATACTAAAGATTGCACATTGAACTGGCATATATGAATCTTTTGAATGCAATTTAAAGATTAGTCATTCTCGAATGTAGTCCTGAAATTTTTAATATGCTGATGAAAGGTTGAATGTCTAGACGCTCGCTTCACACAACCTACAATCAAAAGTAAGCAACTATTTGCACACCTTTGTAGCACGTTAAAAGTTTCAGGACGTCTGTATGGGAAAAGTTTTCAATGTGAACTGACTTTATCTTTTTTTTTTTTTTTTTTTTTCCTTCCTGCAGTTGAAAAGCTGTTGCTTCAGGCCAGTATAAGGGTTTTCATAAGTTCTTATCGTTGCATAAACTCAAATCCAAAACAGGGCTTCTTGGCGGATGATACTTGCATCCTTGAAGCCGAAGTTACTGTGCTTGGATTGATTGGCAGCGTAATGAATCTGTTGCTAAATTTCTGAGAATGCTTTAGTAATAACAATTTGAATTCAAACTGGTTCTGTTCAATATAGCTTTGAGACCATTGTTAATCAACAAATTGTCACATTATTGGTGCACACATTACATGAAAAATTACATGTTATATCGTATTATTGAAATCAATGAGTAATATGTAATCTGCACCATCACTTTGCTGAATTAGCTCACATGTGGTGGTCCAGAACTGGAAATCAAGTGCAGGTTCATAATCATGAACGACCAAATCCATATCATAAAATGGCTCTAGGTCTGAATCCTTCTACAAGTCCATAACCGATCTATGAGTAGTTTGACAATGGCTAGAGCACTTCACTGTAGGTTTGTCCGACCACTCAGTGACTTCTGCAAATCTGTTTGAAATGGATGACTTAGTAGGAGGACAAAGAAATTGTAGTGCAGACATTAGAAGTTCCGATGAACCATGATTCAAGAACATGTTAGAACAAAAGTTTTGAGAAATTTATCATGCAACTTTCCATTTTCCATCTTAATTTATCATGATCAGGTTGCTGAATTGACTTGAAGAAAAGGTCATACCTCTTCTGTTGTTGTTATACTGTGAGTCCCTTTGTGATGCCCCAACTAGGAGCCCCAACTCGCAGGGCAAGTAGGCAGGCAACGATATAATTTTGAGATAGATATAGAAGCAGAACATATATTATCTAATGACCTGTTTGTAAGAGTTAACAAAAAATTATTTGCTATGAACATCAATTTTTTGAATAGTCAGACAGTTGAGAGCTGAAGAGTTAGATTTGAGGAACTCACAGTGGCCTCTGCTATTGGGTTCACATTGCCATTTACTGAGAAAGCACCACCAAGACTACTATTTGCCCAATGTGTCTTTCCCAATGCAAGATCTGTTCAACCTCCTGTACCAATAGAGAATATATCAATATGTAACCCCTATACATTGGTTGTTCTTAAAATACTGTTTATGTGCGAGTAGGAACGATCTTCCCTTGAGCGGAACGGGTGCTTCATGAGTCGGAACGGGTATAGAAATTTGCTACTTCTAAGAAGCCAAGTCACATTTTACTTTTGCAAGTAAATTAATCTACCAAATAGTTCTCAAATTTTACTGTTACAATGATTTGGTTGGTGGTCCTTTGGGACTTCATGATGAACACTAGGTGGCTTCTAAATACCATGTCAAATTTTATGTCTTACAAAATGACAGGCAAGAAGAATGAACGTATCAGCATTTGCTGTGTGTCTCATGAGGACGGAGCATTGAGAGAAGAAAGTCTGATTGAGTTTCATCAAAGTCAATTCATGGCCATTGATTTGTTGTTAAGACACCAATATTATTGATGATGAACCAGATGATCTAGCAATTCTCAGGAGTTGTACAATTTTCTATTTTGGTCCAGTCAGACAGGAAATTATTTTCTGAGGCTACAAAAAGTTTATCTAGAACCACTTTCTAATAAAGCTCTTGGAGCTTCCCGCTTCGAAGATAAAAGATAGAACCCAGATTCTGATAAAACAAACCTCTCCTCCATTAGTTTTGAGATATTTATTTATTATCCCATATATCCTCTGCTATTTGCTATAATTAGTGTTTCATGAAATTTTCAGGTGTTGAATACCCATAAGAATTTCTTTCATATTTCAGTTTCAGATAATGATACCAAAAGAGTTTTCTATACTGGTGAATCAAAACATGTCAATTTCAATTGGGTGTTTCGAAAGGCAATCATTTAACTAGCTTCACATATCTGATCAATTCAGATTAAAACAGCTAGCTAATACAGATGATTAGGAAATGCAAAACCTCAAAAAAGACATTCTTAAATCTCCTACAAATTACCACAATCTGAGATGTACTTTCTCTTCAACTATGCAGATTTTCTCCGAATCCAAGAA